CAGGGTTGGGTTTTTGGGGGGATGAGGGACGATCCTAACAGGATTTTGATTATATCAGCCCACTGCCTTCTGACAGCGAGTTTTTTTGCAAGGAACTTTCTGATCATTTATTGAAGATCCCTAATATGTGATGAATTGTTTGTTGTAACTTTGTTGTAAGAGACCCTCTTTGGCTTTCAAGAGTTTGTTTATGTTCTGTTTAGGTAGAGATCTCTGCATTCATCTTACCTAAGGTCCATTTAGCTTGGGTGATGTTTATATTTTTATCATTCATTAAGTGTGGCAGCTCTTGATCCATTATTTCTTGTCCCTTTCACCGTCTCTTCTTATGGGACTTGGAAAGTGTATATGTTGGTCTCTTTGATAGCTAGGCAATGCGTTTTCCTTCAGCTCTTTAATGAAGAGTTTTATGAATATGCAAATATATACATACTGTATAAACCTAAATGCATATAAAGCATTACAGTGTAATTGTGTGTCTCTGCGTTGTAGATATTAAACCCAGTGCCTTGCGTGTGCTGACTAAGCAGGCGCTCTGTGAGCAGCCGCAGGAGCGGCACGGTATGTTGTTCCAGCATGGTCTTAGAGTTTAAAATGTAATGAGCTCGAAATCTTAAATATGCTTCTATATCAATATTTGATTAGCTTATTAAATTACGTTGTGTATGTTGTTAATCCTCTCAAGTGTGAAGCACATCGAATTAATGGAATCTACCATAAAGTATATTAAGATTTAGAAATTTAATTTCTGTTGCAGATGCCTTAATAGGAAAGTCCAGAAATAAATGAGAATATATTTACCAGGGCAGTATGTAATGTGATCCTAATAAAACAAGCAGAATGACAAGATTTTATTCAACTATATTTTTTTCAGATACAATTATTATTATTATTATTATTATATTTTGGTGGAACCGGGGATTGAACTCAGGCCCTTGAGCTTGCCAGGGAAGCACTTACTCTACTGAGCCATTTCCCCGGCCCCTCAGATACAATTTTTAACTTTTAACAATTTTTAACAATTTTTAACAATTTTAACTGGTATATTAAGCTAGTTTTTTCAGTTTTCTGGAACATTGATTTATAGGAATAAAATCAGTAATTTTATTGTATAATTTTGGTGAGTAGTTCAAGTGTATATTTGGTTAAGATAATTCTTTATTTTTTTTTTTTTTGCGGAACCGGGGATTGAACTCAGGCCCTTGCACTTGCCAGGGAAGCGCTTATTCCACTGAGCCATCTCTCTGGCCCCAGGTTAAGATAATTCTGATGAATAAATATTTATAGTAGAGTTATCAAACTTGTTTACATATATGGTATATTAGGGTTTTGTCTGTAGTTTGGCATTGTCCATCCACTTATGTTTGCATTGTGAGTGTAGCTATTTTTTCTCTCAGTATCTTGGAGTATGGGTTATTGGCTTTCCCAAGTAATTTAGTACATTTTCTTTAAATTTCTTATTGAAGTTGGTTTTAGATTGTTGCTTTGAGATAAATTGCTTTTAGATCAGGCTATTGCTAAACTAAGCAAAACACTTAATTAGAAAGGGACAGTCGCATACCACTGTGAGCATATTGGGACCTCAGCGTGTTCCTATTAGGGACCCTTTGTACCCCTGCCCACTGATGTCATCAGAGCCAGAAAGCTGTGGTAGTTTCCACCTGCCATGGCTGGTTAGTTGAACAGTAAATTCCTGGGCCTCGGGTCTAAAATGTGGCCACTTACTTGATTGTGATTTATTCTGTATTGTTTTCCTGGATTTTTTTTTTTTTTTTACACATAAGAGTGTCCACATTAGTAGAGAGAATGTCCCTGCTATCATTTGCTGCACAAACTGGCATCACCTTTGTAAGGTATTTCTCTGATGGGGAATTGAGCTCCTGCCCTTCCTTGCCGCAAGTGCTTTTGCAGCTGTTGAAGTCCCAGAGTGCAGGTCTGCTATGGAGTGGCTGGTCTTCATCTTTTCGCTTCAGTTGTGTGTTCACGTCTTGTTTTGTCTCCTTAGACTCCTGTGTTTCTCTGACAAGCGTTATTTGTTCAGAGGTAGGCTAAACTGCAGAAGCTCTAGTGGTAAATAACCACCTGTGTGTCAGTTGTGTAGCTGATGTAGCTTCTGAGTGCTGACCACTGTGTATTATTGTTGTTGGATGTACAATGCCTGATGGATAAACATGGTTTTCCAAACCGATAATGCTCAGCGTTTGGTGGGTGAGCCGGCATCATCTCCTTCCTAGTCTACTTGTCTTTGGTTTTAAACATTTTAAGTTATCCTGATGAAGGAACAAATTTTCTTTTGTTCACTTGTCATAAGTTTTAATATAAAATCTTTGAGCAGATTTATAGTCTTGTTAGATTTGATTAGAAAAAGTGTTTTAGATGTTTTAAAAGAATATTCAGTGAAATTTATATAGATCATAAAACAGCTTTTTAAAAGCTAATTATATTTTTATTGCAGTTTAGGCTACTAGAAGACATTATAGAGAAAATACTCTGCCTTCAGCATACTGGCATTTGTTTCTGGAGTCTCGAGTGCTTAAGAATGGCCTGGATAAAGACATCTGCAGGTTTCCCGTTCCCTGTGACACCTGCCTGTCTCGGCTCATATTGTAGAACACTTTCTCTATATTCTCAGTGAGATTTGTATTGGGGTTTTAAAAAGTGGTGAATTGTACAAAGTGCAGTTGGAGAAAAGGGAGCTTAGAAATAGGTATGGTGGAGAAAAGGAGCCAAGGAAGAGGGCTGAATTGTCCTGGAACGACGAGGTCATCCAGCAGAAGACTGCTTTGTGACTTTCTTGTGTGAGTCTACTTTTTAGTTTCTTAACCTTTGTATTAGAAAGTTTTTTTAAAAAATTTATAATAGTGTTCGATCGGTAGCGGGAGCGGAGAGCGGACCGCAGAGAGCCCTGAGCAGCCCCACCGTCGCCGGCCTAGTTACCGTCACACGCCGGTAGGAGCCGCAGCTGCCGCGGCCGGCCCGGTCACCATCACCACTACACGAGCAGCCAGGCCGGGACCCAGCAGCCGCCACCCATCGTCCCCGCCGCCTCTGCCCTCAGTGCTGCTGACAGCGAGCCCCGCACCGCGGGCAGCAGCACAGGGGGCCGGGCCGGGTGGCCTCACATTGGCCGGGACGAGAAGGTTATCGCAAGGAAGGTTTTGGGAACAGTAAAATGGTTCAGTGTGGGAAACGGATATGGCTTCATCAACAGGAATGACACCAAGGAAGATGTACTTGTACACCAGACCGCCATAAAGAATAACCCCGGGAAGGACCTGCGCAGTGTAGGAGATGGAGAGACCGCGGAGCTTGATGGTGTTGAAGGAGAAAAGGGTGCGAGGCAGCGAATGTCACAGGCCCCGGTGGAGCTCCAGCTCCAGGCAGCAAATGCGCAGCAGACCAGAACCATCATAGACGCTGTCCACGTCGCTGGGGTCCTCCACACAACTACCAGCAGAATTACCAGCATAGCGAGAGTGGGGAGAAGAATGAGGGATCGGAGAGCGCTCCCGAGGGCCAGGCCCACCGCAGGCGAAGGTCCCCACCTCACTAGTGCGGAGACCCCGTGGGCATCGGCCACAGTACCCCAACCCTCCTGTGCGAGGAGAAGGGATGGAGGGTGCTGACAGGCAGGGTGCAGGAGAGCAAGGTAGGCAAGGGAGACAGAATGTGTATCGAGGCTATAGACCACGATTCCGCAGGGACCCTCCTCTCCAAAGACAGCCTAGAGAGGACGGCAATGAAGGAGATAAGGAAAATGGAGATGAGCCCCAAGATCAGCAGCCGCCTCAATGTGGTACCGTTGCAACTTCAATTACTGACGCAGACGCCCAGAAAACCCTAAACCACAAGAAGGCAAAGAGACAAAAGCAGCCGATCCACCAGCTGAGAATTCGTCCGCTCTGGAGGCTGAGCAGGGCAGACCTGAGTAAACGCTGGCTTAACATCTCTAGCATCATCCGGTTTAGTCATCCAGCAAGAAAGAAACAAATAGGAAATTCCAGCAATAAGAAATGAACAAAAGATTGGAACTGAAGCCCTTAAGTGCTTGCTTTTTGCCCGTTGACCAGATAACTAGAACTATCTGCATTATCTATGCAGCATGCGGTTTTTATTATTTTTACCTAAAGACGTCTCTTTTTGGTAATGACAAACGTGTTTTTTAAAAAAGCCTGGTTTTTCTCAATACACCTTTAAAGGTTTTTAAATTGTTTCATATGTGGTCAAGTTGAGATTTTTAAGAACTTCATTTTTAAGTTGTAATAAAAGTTTACAACTTGATTTTTTCAAAAAAGTCAACAAACTGCAAGCACTTGTTAATAAAGGTCTTAAATAATAAAAAAAAAATTATGGTATGTTAGACATTTGGCTTCATTTAATGCTCACAGGACAGTTTTGTGTTCTTCAAATGGTTTTGTGGCTTATAGCTCTAACTGTAGACAACAAGATATTTTATTTAGCTATTAGATTTAATTACACTAAATGTTAAGAGTTGGATGAGGGAAAGGAGAAAAGAAAGAAGGAAGGGAAAATACATGTATCTACAGAATGGCTTGCATGATTGTCCTGCTCATTCTACTGGCCTCTTGGAAGGAGCAGTTAATGCTTTTTCTTTTCTTTTTACTTTTTTGACCAGTTTTGCATGCTTATATCTGGTAATTGAAAACAACAATATGCAATTTAACAACTGCTGTTGAATTCCTAGAAAAAGTGACACCCTGGTTTTCATTTGAATTATTTTCTAATGGGGTCCATTGAAGATACTGTTTATAATTTAATCTGAGTGTTATAACTCTTTTTTGAAGTGTTCCAGTTGGATATTTCATGTTTTTATTTTTAAGTACACTGATGCCATAACAGTTCTCATTTTTAAATTTTTAAAACCTTTTTCAGCCTGGGTAAGACGGTTATTCTGAGACTCACTCCCTTGCGTTTACTCCTCTTCAGAACGCGTCCCTGACCCCGCCGTGCTCACGCCCTGTCACTGTGTCTCCCTGCAGCATGGGTCTGTGGCATCGTCTCCATCACTGCCATCAGCCTCCTGTCCTTGCTCGGCGTGATTCTGGTTCCCATCATCAAGCAAGGCTGCTTCAAATTCCTGCTCACATTCCTGGTTGCTCTGGCCGTGGGAACCATGAGTGGAGACGCCCTCCTTCACCTGCTGCCCCATGTAAGCGATTTTCTCCTTCTTCAAAGGGCTGAGAGCCAGGGAGCACTTGGTGGTGAGCCAGCGCTGTCTCCTGGCTAATCTGCTTTTTGTGTGTGAAAATTTTAAGTTATCCTGGTGGAGATGAACTTTCCTTCAGTAGCAAGCTACAGCGCTCTAGGGTTGTACTTGTGTTTCTTGTTTGCAAATAGGACAAAGGCTGGTTCTCTTCCGTCTTATAGAGTGATTGGCAGTGTTTTTGGCCAGTTGAAGCAGTAGGTTTTTAAATGCAGCAGTGAATGATCTTTTCATCCACGTCACATATCAAGAAAGCCTTGAGAAAAATGTGTTAAGTTGCTGTAGTGATTTTGCCGATAGCCAGGAGGGCACAGTGGTGACGTGCTGGTGAGCTGGTGGGCTCTGTATTACCTTTACAATTTGGCATTTAAGTGCTCATGTGTGCTCCAGCTTTTAAAGGACCCGTCACTCCCCGTTGTTCCTTGTGACTTGGGTCTTCATTATCGCATCTCTGTTAGAGGCATTTGAGCTTGTGGTCTTTGCTTGACCAAGAAGTGCTGCACACTTTGCAGATGACTGAGCACACTAGATGGAAGATTACTTTCTTTAAATAGCATAGCATCTAGAGGAGCAGTTTGAAAGTTAAAAATTATTCACATATCCCACTCCTTTGGGATCTGAAGCAGCTGCTTTTGTCCAAGTTGAGGGGTGGACGGGGTTTACCCAGAGGCCGAGGGGGCTGGAGAGGCAAGGCCAGGGTGGAGTGTGGGTGAGTTAGAGGGAGGTTCCCAGGGCTGTTGCACAGCAGGGTGGCGATAGGCAGGGTAATTACTGTTTAGTTTGTAGGAAGCTAGAAGAAAGAGTTTCAAGTGTGTCAAAGAAATAATAAATGCAGGAGGGAGGGGTCATGCTTGCCCAGATTTGAATGTTGTGTAATATGCACATAGGGTGAAATATTGATTGTACCTCATGCGTGTGTACAATTTATGTGTCAGTTTAAGGAACAGGAAAGTGTCAAAACAAGATAAAAACTAAAAGTTACTTTTCTAGTAGATTAAAACCTCAACATTTGAAATGGCATTTCAGTTGCATGTTCAGAAGTATTCTTTGTTGTAATAGTCGCAGGGTGGACACGGGCACGGCCATCACCACGCACACGGCCACGGGCACAGCCACTCTCACGCGCACGAGGCCAAGAGCTTTGTGGAGGAGTACGATGCCGTCCTGAAGGGCCTGGTCGCGCTGGGCGGTATTTACGTGCTATTCATCATTGAGCACTGCATTAGGATGTTCAAGCACTACAAGCAACAGAGGGTAAGCATTTGTACTCATTTAATTTTCTGAGATACAGTAATAGAATTTGTAAATAATTGAGGACAGATTGTGATCGGTGTCTGATTATGAATGGTGAGACCGAGAGCTTGTTTGTGTTTTGCAAGGCTCCCCAGAGTCAGTCACGTTAGTAGGTTCTCGTGTGTTCCCTGGTACTGCCATTCCAGCTAGCAGTCGTAGCTCATCGTATAACTGAGTTTCGTGCTGCGTAAGTTTAGCAGACTTCCCCAAGTCTCAAAAGCGAGATAGACATTTAAGACTGTGACTCACTTAGATTCTGTTATGTCACGTGCATGGAGATTAAGATGATAGTAAAAGAGAGTAAAATTCAAAGGAGTACACTTTAATTTTTGAAACTTCCTTATCTTACACAAATAAAGTGGAATTATATCTGCCTCACAATTTCATTTAGGTTGCATTTAGTAGTTTAGTACAGCACCTGCTTAGGCAGATGCAGGGACCTGGGTTTGCTCCGCAGTGTGCTGTGCCAGCCCTACTCCAGAGGACGCTGAGAGGGTGACTGAGACCGGGCTTGGGAGCCACACCTGTAATCCCAACACTTGGGAGGCTGGAAACAGGCAGATCACTACGAGTCCAATCTGTGTAGTGAGACCCTGTAGACCCTGTCCCAGCTACATTAAAAAAAAGTTTAATATTGTGTACAGTATTAACTTTGAAGTAGATGAAGAGAATCTTAGTTCAGTATTTTAAAAATTGTACAGATTTAGGTAGAATTTTCACCTAGTTAGATCCCTTGGTTCATTTCTAATAATCTCTTACTATTTTGTAAGATGATTTTATGAAGTGTGAACAGGGGATAGTACCACTTGTTGTGGCTGCACATTTTCTCCTGATACCTGGTTTTTTGTTGTGCAGGGAAAGCAGAAGTGGTTCATAAAGCAGAGCACAGAAGAGTCAGCTATTGGAAGGAAGCTTTCGGATCACAAGTTAAACAACACGCCCGACGCCGACTGGCTCCAGCTCAAGCCTCTTGCCGGTACTTAGCAGCAGCTCTGCTTGGGAGGAACTTTTAAGTCGAATCGAAAAGTTGCTTCTAACCTGGGTTGTTCGAGATTGTTTGCTTTTGTGACTCCCTTAATACTAGTTTCCAGCATGTTTTTCCTTAAATGTATGCCTTAATTATGATTTTACTGATTTGAGTTCTTTGCAACCTCATTTTTGCTGGAGTGTGGGGCCCCACAGATCATGGGATAAGAGGCAGGGCCTTCTGGAGTAGTAGGCGGGGTCTCCCTTATGGGAAGTGCCCAAGCGCCTGGTCGCTCCCCATGTACTGGCTTCCTAGAGGGGATGCCCCAGCCTGCTCCCTGCAAAGTGCCCATGCATTCTGCTGCCTGGTAGGCCTAATGAGGACCCTTGCGGTTTTCAGGGAAACAAAGGGGTTTTGTTTGTTTTGTTTTTTATATTTAGGACAGGGTGTACAGGGACACACTACGTACATCAGACTCGTAGTGATCTGCCTGTGTTCAGCCTCCCAAGAGCTGGGATTACAGGTGCGTGCCACCACGCTCAGGCGCATTTACCATCACAGCTTGCCCCGGGGGCAGGGCTGCTGTGCTCTGCCTAAGCAGGCGCGTTAGTCTGCTGAGCTATCTGGCCAGCCCAAAGGTATTTTTCATGTAATTTGTTTCACTCTCCATTTGAACTTGTTCTTCAAATGTAGTAGTTTCCTGCACAAACAGGCAGTCTAGGATCTGTCTGTAGAACTTCGTCCCAGAACACAGTTAGGAAGTATCAGAAGGTCATAAAGCAGGAAGTGGAAACTGGGGTGAAAGGCTGCCCTTGGTGTTTTTGACAGCGCTTACTGGACACAGCCTGAGGCCAGACGTGGGCTTCATCCAGTCGATCAGGCAGTGACCCCTGCGTACCGTTGTCTGTAGGCACAGGCCGAGGCTGCAGAGGACTTGGCCATCAGCTGTTGGCAGGGTGTGAGCAGGTTATTTAAATTCTAAGTGACAGAGTAGGTTTTCACTTAAAAGTCCCCTTTCTCTAAAAAAATATTTTACCTTTCTCTTTATCTGATGGATTTCAGAAAACCTTCTTGTACTGGAATGGCTCCTAAATGACTTTAGGGAAATAGGTGTATGTGAGACTTCCGTAAGACACTCACCTAGGGGGGATCACTTGCCCTGGTGTCATCCAGGGTTGCCGTGGCAGCATGCATGCAGTCCCTGCTGAGAAAGCCTGTCCCTGTCTCCAACCCAGGGACAGACGACTCGGTTGTTTCTGAAGATCGCCTCAATGAGACTGAACTGACAGACCTAGAGGGCCAGCCGGAGTCCCCTCCTAAGAGCTACCTGTGCATGGAGGAGGCGAAGACCACTGACTGTGCCCGCAGCGATGGGCTGCATGCCCCCCACGCCACCATGCACAACCACCATGGCGGGAGCAAGGCCGCGCCACGGAAGCATGGCCACCAGTGGCACCATAAGCATGCGCACCACTCACATGGACCCTGCCATTCAGGCTCCGACCTCAAGGACACGGGCATCGCCAGCATTGCCTGGATGGTCATCATGGGGGACGGCATCCACAACTTCAGTGACGGGCTCGCCATCGGTGCGTGGCCAGCTGGCCCAGCAGTCGGCACCTCACGTTCAGTGTTCTCCTCCACTCCGCGGGGCTGATTGCAGGGCTGTGGTTCAGTGTAGAGCTTAGCACGTGCGCTGTTGCTTGGCTCCTTTCGTTTGGGTTTTACACGGAGTATGGTTCTGTGTTTGATAAGTAGATTGGAAGTGAAAATCTATTTGGGGTTTTTTTTTAGAATTTACTTTGGTTTTTGAGACGGAGTCTCAGGCTGACCTCAAACTTGCAGTGACCCTGCCCCGGCCTTGTGAGTGTCGGACAGCAGGCACACACCACTGTGCCCAGCAGTATCTGGGAGGGGCACTGAACACATGTTTAGAATGTACTGCTCACGTAGTGTGGCCTCTCAGGGAAGGCAGCCGTCATCCTGAGAAGGCTGCCTGAGCACTACTGTGAAACACTTTCACAGTACACCTGAAAGAAAGCTCAAAGAAAGCTGCATTCACCATTGAGTTTAATGAATTTTTCACATCTTTCAAAAGAGAAAGACCAATTTTACAATATTAAAAATTCATTGTAACAGATTCAGATACATTAGAATCTTACTAACTACCTCCCACTACCAGTGTGGGATCGTGTGATCAGTGCGTGAAAAGATCCAGGGTCCACAGCAGCAGCCGGGTTTGTGTCGAGTCACGAGCGTAGGGAGCCTGTTTTGAGGCCATAGGAGGTGATGATACAGAAGAAGGAAAGATTCCAGATAAGAATGCCCTGCTGCATGCCCTACTGTCTGTCCAAAGCTAGTGCATGAGTAGGGGAGTCTCACAGTGTGAAGTTAGCGTAATGACAACAGGCAGCAGAAACTCCCTTAATGTCACTTGCTTTCTCCCTTCACTTCTCCCCAGGAGCGGCGTTCAGTGCTGGGCTGACGGGAGGAATCAGCACTTCTATAGCTGTCTTTTGCCATGAGCTGCCACACGAACTAGGTAATTTCACCAGATTGCATCACACCTGAGGCTTTACCACTTGTGAATATGTCCAGATTTCCAGACTATTGAAACGTGAAAGGACTGATGGCAAGTATAAAAGCTATATCTTGTGTGAAGTAAGGAAAAACATGCACTTCTAAAAATTGTAGGACATGAACGCTCCACACTTTTCCTGGAGACACACCGTCATGCTGTTAAGATGACAGCATGCGCTGAAGCCAGGAGCACGCACCCTTGTTTATTGGTGCACTTCGCACACCCGGGACGGTCACATTCCTCAACAGGGCTGGACTCTGCACGTGGGGTGCACATCTGGAGCCTTTCTCTCCCATCCCCCCCTCCAAGCCCTCTTCTCCACCCTATTTACAAGAGCATTGTTTTCATTTTATCCTTCTTGTTTGTTTTCTTTTCCCTTCCTCCCCCGCCATCATTTCACAATATTTATATGTTTTGGTCCTATTCAAACTTCCACTTTGTTATACCAGAGAAACAATGCATTATTTAAACGTGTGTGTCTAATTTATTTCACTTCAGAGTATGGCCCCAAGGTGCATCCAGTTTTGTATAAATGTCTCAAGTTTATTCTTTATGGCTCAGTAGTGCTCCATTGCAAAACAACCCATATCTTCTTTATGCATTCTTTAGTTAATGGGCATTTGAACTGTTCCTAAGATTTACTTATTAAAAACTGCCATTATAATGTGGGTGGGCGTGTATCGTGGTGGCATGATGCTTTTAACTCTTGGGAAGATAACCACGAAGGGGGCTAGCTGGGTCATCTAATGGAACCTCTAGCTGTAGTTTTTTGAGGAATCTCCACACTGATTTCCACAGTGGTTGTACCAGTCTGCGCTCCCATCGGTAGGAGAGAAGCGTCCTTTTTTCCCTACAGCCCTACCAGCATTTGTTATTGGTTGCTTTCTTGATGATATCCATTCTTTCTGGGGTGAAATGGAATCTCAAGAGTTGTTTTAATTTGCATCTCTCGAATGATCAGTGATGTTGAGCATTTCTATTTATTTCTGCTTCATCTGAGAAGAAGTATTCGTTTCAGATGTCCATTTTTGGATTGGGTCTTTATATGTTCTAGATACTGGTCCTTTGAGGAACAGCTGGCAAATATTTTTTCCCAAATTGTGGGTTATCTCTTTGCTCCTTTAGTGGTTTCTTTTGTTGTGCAAAAGCTTTTTCAATAAGATAAGATTCCAGTTAATTCTTTGTAATATTTCCTGTGCAGTTGGGATTTTGTTCATGAAGTCTGCCTATACCAGTGTCTTCAAGAGTTCTACCTACTTTCTCTTCCAATAGGCTTAGTGTTTCTGTTTTAATATTTATATCCTTGATCCATTCCAATTTTAGTTTAGTGAATGGTGAAAGTACAAATATAATTTTAATCTTTTTTTTTTTTTAAATTTTATTTGTTTGTGTGTGTGTGGCCAGCTCAGCCCACCAGGGGGCGGGGCCGGCTGGCATGTGGTGCTGGGGATTGAACCGCGGTCCCTCTGCTTTTCTAAGCTTGTTTTAAGTAGGTGCTTTAGACCACTGAGCCATCTCACCAGCCCCTAGTTTTAATCTTTGGCATGTGGAAAGCCAGTTTTTCCAACACCACTCACCTTCTGATAAAGATGTTTAGATAAGGTGGCTGAGTGTGTTTGGAATTGTGGCTGCATGTCTTAGTCTGGTCCATTGATGGTCAGGTCAGTTATTTTGCCAGTACCATGCTGCTTTGATTACAGTAGCTTTGCATGTAATTTCAAGTCAGGGATTGTGATGCCCCCTGCCTGGCCTTTGCTGCCCGTAATTGTTTTTGCTGTTCTGAGTCTTTTCTGGTTCCAAATGAGTTTCAGAATTGTTTTTCCTAATTCTATGAGATGTACTTTTGGAATTTTGATTGTGATTACATTAAACCTGTATAACATTTTTGGAACTGTGGTCATTTTCACTATATTGATCTTATCCAAGAATAAGAGATATCTTTCTCTTTTCTGAATTCCTCTTCGCTTTCTTTTTCCAGAATACTGTAGCTTTCAACATAAATGCTTTACCTCCTTTGTTAGATTTATTCCTAGGTATATGGTTGTTTCCCCTTTTTCTGTCCTCTGTTTAGTTCCTTGCCTTGCTTGGTAGATGTTATGGTTTGTGTCTAGGTGTCCCCCCAAAGCCTCATGCAGTCTTGGGGGAGCTTCTGGAGTTTGTGATTGATTACTGTGGGTGTGGCTGCTGCGCCTGCCCTGGGGCAGGGAATTTGCATTACAATGTAAGGAGGGAAGAGAAGCCAGCTGCCTGAGCTGCTGCTACCCCTCCCTGTGCTCTTGCTCTTTGCCACCACCATGAAAGGTTGCTTTCTGCTCAGTGCTGCTCTGCATTGGACCCCGCTGAGTATGGACTGAAACCTCCAGTAACTGTGAGCTAAATAAACCTTTCCTTCCTTCATTTTGAGTGTCGGGTATTTGTCCCAGCAACGAGAGAAGAGTAACTAAGACAGTAGATTCATCCTGTTAGGGTTCATGGACTTGTAGTCCTAATTATCTCTACAGTGTCCTTCAGAACAGTTTGGAATGCTGGTTGTGAATTTCTTTAGGTGTTTTTAACATGGAAGTGTTTTATTTCTCCATCAATTTTGTAGCATGGTTTTGCAGGGTACATCATTCTGGGCTGGAGGTTGTTTCTTTTGGGGTTTGAAATATTCCACCCCAAGCTGTTCTTGGCTTGAGGGTTTGTATTGAGAACCCTGCTGTGATTCTGGTAGGATTTTACATGAGATTTTTTTCTTTCTTCTTAATAGTTTTGAGGGCTGGAGAGATGGCTCAGTGGTCTAAAGCACCTACTTAGAACAAGTTCAGCGAAGCACAGGGACCACGGTTCAATCCCCCAGC